AGGCCATTTCCCGGCTTCCGGCGGCCATTTTGGCCGCCGAACAGCTGATCGGCGGGGGTCGTTTTGCGAAGATCGGTAAGCGAAACGCTTACCGGTCTTCGCAAAGTGAATTTTTCCCTATAGGAAAAACGTTGTGCGATCGCATTAGCGATCCGAAAAAACAGATCGCTATGCGATTTAATCGTTATACGGTGCGCTCGTTAAGCGAGGCACCACTGTAATGTGATATGATAGACAAAGAGAATGATTGTTTCAGCCTGAAAGCTAATAAATATTTCTCTTTCATTAACTCAAACCCCACAAGAACAGTTCAGAATGGCCTGGAACAACAACATTCAAAGGGTTGAAGGGTTACCAAATCAAATTTACACATGAGTAGATGAGATGGGTTCAGGAAGCCATGAATCAACCCGAGGAATAATATTTAAGCACTATTTTTTTCTGGCAGAAAATTGATATTGTGAAATTCAGGTTGGAATGGAGACTTTCCAATAGGAATGCCCAACGAATTTCACCCATTCCATTTGACTACAGGCTACAGACGAACGAGTAATGAAAGACACCCCCCCCAGAAACAATTTCCATTGCAAGACCAAGACAAAATCTTCTCCTTCAGGATTTCTTCAATTTCTGTACAATTGAATTTATATTTAGGCTTCTATTTACATGACTGACTGAGAAATTCAGCATCCATCTTGGGATAATAGAATTAGCCTCCCTCCCACCTTTGTGCCAGAGAGCTTTATTGTCTTGGAATGTCTGTCCTCAAGTCTGAACAAACCTAACCTGGTTCCTGCTTAGAGAAGGTTGTCTTGCATGTTCCACCTGCAACCACTCCAAAAGCTGACTGTGTAATTGTTTATTTTATTTATATACCAGCTTTCTGCTATCAGCGCAACCAAGGCAGGTCCCAGTGATTAAACCCATGCAAAAACAATACCAAGTTAAACATTCCACACAAAAACAGAGATAACAAAAAAATGTCAAGCATTGGTCAAGATTAAAAACCAATTTAAAACATGAAGAAATATATGTTTTAAACCTTCAGAGGGATCTTGGTGTCTGTATAAAGACAGAATAAGGATAGCTTCTCCCAGTTCTAGCTTAACATTTATTTATTTATTTATTTATTTATTTATTTATTTATTTATTTATTTATTTATTTAAATGAATGAATGAATGAATGAATGAATGAATGGAATGTAATACACATTATTATCACTAAGTGTCAAAGCATGTAGTTCATTCAGACACTCGGAAAATTCACAATCATTTTTATTTTATTTTGTATTTTCCCGACTCTAGTGAGAAGTATTTTATATCCCATATCTTTTAGAATCATCCCTTCTCATTTTCCTTCACTGCATACCAATCTCTATTTTTAGTTTCATGAGACCTTGTTGTGATGAATGTAAATCCCGTGAGGAAACTGAAAGTGGTCAATTCTAACTGCCCACAGCTGACTAAGGGTGGTTTTCTGCAGAGAAAGACAGCTTATGCTGAGCAAAACTGCTTTTACAGGAGTGGGCTGTAGGTGGTGCCAAAGAGCTTCGAATCCAAAGGATGGCTAAGATTGCAGCAGACATTAACAAAGTCCTTCTGAAATCCCTTCTTGGCAAGACTTAACAAAAGTGTCAAAATTCCCTGTGTCAAGTTCCCTGGAGCCCTGAAGATGAAGGAGGACAGCAAGAGATTGTAGGGGTATAAGCCTCCCTCGCATCATGAAGCCAGAGCACTTTGGGGATTTCTACCCTTCCCTATGAATTCTGAACAAAAATACCTGATGAGTTCCTACTCCAGTCCTCTGAAGATGCCGACCACAGAGATTGGCGAAAGGTTAGGAAGAACAACCTTCAGAACACAGCCAAAGAGCCTGAAAAACCCACAACAAGCTTTCTAACATATGTCAAAGGAACACTCCTTCCTTCCTTCCTTCCTTCCTTCCATCCATCCATTTATCCATCAACCAAACACTAATTCATTCATTCGTTCAGAAGGTGCATCTCTCTCAATAGGGAACTCAAGGCGGCACACAACAATTGAAATCATATGGTCAGAACAAGTTTAAAAGAATCAAACAAAGCTGTATATTAAAAGGCAATAGAATGTTGTTCAATATTAAAATCAATTTTTAAAATATTTAAATTATAGTGGTTTGGGTTTGTTTTCTTCTCTTTTTTGGAACGATTCATAGGGGCATTAGTCACACTTTCTTCATTGTTAGTGCGTTAGAGGTTGGGACTGTTTTATATTAGTAGTGTCATTGGTTTCATGCAAATGTTTTTGCACATCCTTCTATAAAGGGAGAGTCCAGGTTAAGGGTTGAGAATTCACACTCTTTGAGAGAACCTGGTTGAGTTCTGCCCACCTCACGGGATCTCAAGAGTCTCCTCCAGGTTAAACATGCCCAGTTCCTCATAGGGCTTGGTTTCAAACCACCTGATCATCCTTGTTGGCATCCTCTTAACTTGTTCCAGCTTGTTGGCATTCAGGGCTGCTTTATTTTGGAGTTGGGAAACTTGACTAGAAACTGCAAGTTGAGATAGCAGCCTACAGCTGTTTCACTAGAATTCTTGACTATAACAACGAATGAGCATTATCAGTATGGAAAATGGATCTTTCTCTCTGGGTACATCCTGGCTTCTGTGTGTTTCATGAAAGATTTACGTTACATGCATCATATAAAGAAGAATCAAGAGTTGGACCTCTCCTCCTTGGGCTCCTTTGTGACCCAGCCCCATTCCTTTTGTGGTTTGGAATGATGGCTGGAAGGAACTAATCATCTCCTCTTGACCCATTTCAGCATCTCCTGTAACTACCAGGGATAGGCACAGTGAAAACCTTTATTTTTATTTCATGTTTGGTTCTTCCTGGTTCATGTTCATGCATTTCATGGATCAACCCTTTCCTTAAATGCAAAAACAAACAAACCCCAGACTGTTTTGAGTCATTTTGTTGCATTATTTCCTTAAAACACAACCAAATGAGGGGCAAGGCAGGTGACAGAGAGTTGATCCTAAGCTCTAAACAACTTTTCAAAAGTGCTTCCTAAAAGGCAGGTTCGAGGTAAACCCCTTAAAAGCCCTAAAGAATCCTTAAAACTATTCCAAAACAGCAGGGGCAAGGCAACGGAAAATCCATCCACTCTAAAAGCAGGCAAGAGTATAGGAGGATAAAAAATAATCACTCACTAAAATATTCACCATTAACATAATAAACGTACAGTAAATTAAGCAAATAATATTTTTCAAAAATACATCAAACAGTGAAGAATGTATGGACACACACACACACACACACACACACACACACAAAACTACAGAGGAAAAAAATAACAAAATAACACACACAAATCTTCTCAGTTTTAGGATAATTTAAGAAATTGGTATAAGAATGAGGTCTTGTGTGTCAAGATGTTCGCTGAAAACGTAGTAACCTGTTGGCTACTATCTTCCACTGTAATGTCGGAATCATGCCCCCTTTATCAGCTTCCACCATAGACCTTGTAGTCAGGCAGGTGGTCAGCAAACGGCTGGTTTCCAAGGACAGGAATTTTAATGAGTGAACATCATATTCCTGATCTGCATTTAACTTGTTCTTATACAGCTGTGTCTTATTGCAAATATTATCCTTATTATAACATTCCTTATCTCTTAATAGTACAATTAGAATATATGCCAACCCTCCCACCCATCCATACTGAAGCACTTTGATGTAAGCTGCCTTGAGTCCTTTTTAAGGAGAAAGGCAAGGTAAAAAGATTTTAAATAGATAAATACTAAATAAATTCAAGAGTCACAAAAATAAGAAGGCATGAAGTCAGAAAACTGAGTTAGGAACATTCATGGTTGACATTGGTATGATCGTAAATGAAGGGGATTCTAGCCATTCTCTTGTAAAACTGGAGGTTTTTGGAACTCATTAGACCTCTTAGATAAAGGCATGCTGCAACTGATGAAGTGTGTTCACACTGGAAGGTAAACCAATGGCTGTAACAATCATATTGTTTCACTTTTTCTTTATGTTGTTTGCATATTCATTGGCTTCCCAATACAGAAGGCAGAGAAGACAAACCGGGGGATGTCTAGGGAGTGGCTGGAAGGACAATTTTGGTGCTCTGTCTTTCTTGACGGCCCTCCATTCTTTCTCAGACATGAAGCTGCAGCTGGCATTTCTTTATATATTAATAGATTTTCTGGCATTATGCAAATGTTGATGTTGTTCCCTTCCTTAAAGTCAAGACTGTTGTAGAAGTTTCACAGGTCTCCAGAGAATTTGGCTCCTTCCTCTTGCCTAAGAGTTGATACGTACAGTCCCTCAACGATGGAGCTGAGGCACTTGATCAGTTTCTTAACTATTTTCCCTGCCTGTAAGAAAAAGACAACTCAGCTGTCCCTTAAGAAGGGAATCCAATTTTAGTATCCCGTTTCTTCTTCATAACCTTTATCTTTTCATCTATTCTTTTTCTCTGTACCCAGGCATTTCCTCACAGGTTACACTCACAGAGTCTGATGGTGGTCTGAAGAAACCAGGGGAGACCCTCCATCTAATCTGTACAGTTGCTGGATATTCCCTAACGGATTCAACCTATGCAACAGATTGGGTTCGTCAGC